AATAATTTAGAAAATAGTGTTTAATTATAAATATACAATTAACGTCTCACTTTGTATCTTTAAAATAAAGTAATTAATATGGTTGTTTTAACCTAGCTATTTACAATTATGAACTGCTTTTTTTTCTTGCAATACATTTACATTAAATGTTACTGAAACGAACAATTTCTTATACAACCTAATTATTTAACTGCAAAAATGTTCCATTACAAAATAATGTCTGCTCGATGTGTTTTTTTTACATTAACCTGTAGGTGGTACCATCATTTTACTTTTGCAATAACAATTTTTGAAACTTTTTTTCTTGATTATTATAAACTGCTGAACAATAAGAACATTTATACATGGTGAAATAAAGAAAAAATACATTTATAAACCATATTACCGAAATATTTTAAAACACATTGATTTACAAGATTTATTTTATTGTTATATTATATACTTTTTCAACTATCCAAATTCGAATCGTTTCGAACTTTTTTCTAATATAATTTATTTTTAAAAATAGAACCAAAATAAAAAAAATCATAATAACGTTGATTATAATGACAATAATAATTGTGATGATGATCATTGCAATAATGACGATAGTAATAATTTTGGGTCGAAGAAAAATTAATTTTGGTTTATTTCATGTGTTGCAAAGCGAATTTATTCATATAAATTTCAATCACTAATTAACGATATACGTGCCGTTCTGATCGATGACTTTCTGTCACTTTTCAGATAGAACGATAATTCCGTCACTGTAGAACTTCTGAGGCTTCTGGGGAAAAAAGTGAATCAAGTGATTTTCGCAAGCCGCTTTTAAAGCCAATTTTATACCACTAAAAGAGTTCTGCAGAAACCGAAACAAATGGAAGTCAGCCAGAGCAAAGTCTGGGCTATACGGTGGATAAATTAAAATTTTCTTCCCAAGCTTCCTTAATTTTTACCAAGTAACTAAAGATACATATGGTCTAGCGTCGTCATGATGATGGACAGCGCCTTTACGATTTATCAATTCTGGCCATTTTTTTTCATCGCCCGCTGCAATCCCATTATGTGTTGACAGTAGAGAGTCGAATTAATTGCATGATTAGGTTCAAGCAGCTCATGATAAAGAATTCTTTTCCAGACCCACCAAACACTCAGCATCACCTTCCTTGGCGTCAATACAGGCTTTGAAACAGCCTGTGAAGCTTCTCCGAGCTTTGACCACGATCTTTTTCACGTAGGAGTGTCGTACATGATCCACTTTTTAATACTTGTAATCATTCGTTTCAAAAATAGTTAAAGTTCACTTTGCTTGAGCAGCAAATCGTAAATGAAAACTCGGTCCATTAAATTTTCTCTGTTAATTCATGTAGCACATAAGCATCGAGCTTTTTTTGGTATTCAGCTCCATGTAAATGTTTTAAAACTGTTTTATTGTCAATTTTTAGTTCCATAGCTATGTCGCGAGATGAAGAATGTTGATCTACCTTAATTTTTTAAAGAATTATTTTTGAAAAAAGTTTATCTCTAACATAAAAATTTCTAGAACAAACATAAGCAAATCACTTTTGACACTTGCGTTCACTTAAACACTGATCACCATGAGGGTTATACAATATTTAATGCACCTGCGCTGCATTTTCCCCTTTTCGGAAGTAAAAAAGCAAAGTATGACGTAAACGACCTTCGAGAATCTCCATTTTCAACGCGCAATAACTTTTACCCAAGTACAGAAATAGCGCTACTGTTATATCTACAATCTTCTGTGTACTGTTACCTTTCAAATGCGCTATAGTATGGCTTGATTGAATAAGTATTACAAGCAATATGCGACTTTGACGCACTTGGAAAGTCTCAATGGTATATTCAATTACATTACGTATAAATCCTTTCATATAAAACATATAGTCTTTTCAATTTACTTTACACAACTCTTTGTTGATGGTAGACCAGCTTATAGTAAATAATTAATTTGGCAAAAATATTGCTAGAATTATAAAAATTATCATATTTTAATATTTTATCTTGAAATATAACGCGTTTTTATTTTGATTAGATTACTTTACGATAATGGATTGTAAAATAAACAAAAATGAAAAACTTTCTAATATTACTAATTTATTTTGAACTGCAAATTCGGAGGGGGGGTTGGCGCGTAGAGCGCACAGGGGGGCGTAGCTCTACTATTATACATATAAAAGTCTGAAGGCTTAGGAATAGCTACTTTGATACGACATTGTGCTTTTAGCTATATTTTTTTGCGTTATGTTTTTGACGAAGCTTAACTCTTACACGGAAGAAATCCCCTTATTTTGAGTAGTAAAAAATTGTTTTAGAAGTGGCATTAGAACCCCAGTCTTTTAAGATCTGCCGATAGGCATGCTACTTACAGAGTTATTGTTTACCTTGTACTTTGTTCTGACTTGCAGATTATGAAGTTTCACTGCTGTGTAAAATACTAATTCTGCGATATACGTGAGGCAAAATTTACATATAAAGTGAAAAAAAAATGTTTTTTTCTGAAAAGTTGTATCACTTTTTAAATAAAAGTTAAATTATTGTTTTGTTGAAATAAACTTTGCAACAAAAGATACCTGTGCTTCTTGTTATTCTACGATTAAAAACAAAATTGATTGATTTATTTCTCTTACTACAATTTATGCTTTGTTTTGATGAAATTGTACTGCTTACTCAAATTTTTCATCACTTAATTAAATTGCAAACCGTATATTTAAAAGCACTTTCGAACTGTTCACTTTCAATCAGAGTTTACCTGACAGTTAAAGTTCATATTTTAGCCACATCATAAACTACAACGCCTGTAGTAGATTGGACAATCGACGAATGATTTTATTAAGATATATTAAGCATTTTTATGAAGTATCATGATAAATATCAAATTCTATGTAATTTTATATACATACATGTAAGGATTTGTAAATATGTTAAGTATATATTTATTTTATACAGATTCAATTATTCTTTTCATAGGTTATGTGTACTTAAAAATCGGGTACATGAAAAAAAAAACAACATAAGTTAGTTTAAATTTTCATCGGTGAAGTAAAACTGAATAATTTGTGACAAATATAAAATGTACGTTTTTACAATAAGAAAGAATTAATCGTCATTACTTTCCCTATTTGACTTATGTGCAGGTTTTTCATTAACTATATAACTTCAAAACAAAGTTCAAGTCAAGTTAATAACAAGAAGATTTTGATTATAAAATAATCTTTTCAAAAGAACCTACAAAAAGCATTTGTACTAAATTTGTACTAAAATGAGGAAAACTTCGCAGTCTTATAATTTAGAAATTCAGGTGTTGGATAAAAAATGTTTTCTTAACACAGAGTTTCATTAGAAACATACATTTTTAAAATAAAATTGATTCGAAAAAATTTAGAGATGTATACAAAACGTGAGTAAGCAATTAAGAGTTTCCAAAAATTTTCATGTAAAAATTAACATATTAATAATTGAAAGTTAAGTTTTTATGATTTTATTAAAACTTTAACCTAACATTCGATATTTCTACCATCAATTCCAGAGGTATATTATGATCACATGCTCTGTCAAATAAATTGAATTGTGGTTCAAGTACTAAATTTCATCTGACTTGCAGAACTAAACAAACCTCTATCATACAGGTAGTACTCCTCCTCATACTATACATACACTATAGCATCCACCTTAAAAACTGTAATCACAACAGTTAACGAGTATTGCCATTGTCATAAGAATAATTACGGCAGTTTGCAGTATGAAGGATGTTTAAAGTCAAGACTGATATAAAAAAAGGTTTTTCCTAAATTTAATAACACTCTACTTCTATTGACTACAAAAATCATGAATTAAAGTCACTTGAATTGTGAATCTACTGTAAATACCAAAAAAATCTGTATACAGTGCAAGAAAATAAGTATTAGTATTAGATATTAGGTGCTGTTGGTACAGATATTTCTACATCACCAGTGATAACACGCGATGTGATACTATTTCACTAGATTTTCATGGTCAACGTTTACACACTGGTATATATGCGTGCACACAAGAAGTTTGATTTTTTTCAGTTAAATATATCAAGGGTCATATTTAGCACGTCATTATTATCTTATTTTTTATACAAATATTCGTAAAATCTGTACTTACAAGATTAACTCATTTCCATGTATTCACAGTGTATACTTTTTGGAGCAAGGTGAGATTGAAGTTTAAATGTTACAACACTTTTTGATTGACATTCACCTTAACGTCATTATATCAAATCAATCCTTTGATTGTTTGTATCCGAAAACTATCAAATATGCGAAAGCTGTAGAAACGTTTATCATACTGTTTGACTTTATTTTCATACTTTTGGTTACTTCGTTAGATGGATATAAGGCTGACAAGTTTCTCTAAGCAACACATGTCTTATAAAGCTATAGAAACTACCGATAGTTGGGGGAACAGGAGCATACGGAGAAAAGTATACATGCTGAAAGTAGCTATAGAAAGTAACAATATCAAAAGACACAAATTACCAACCGTACATATCAAGATTTCGAAGTATCCACTTTATACATAAAAAATCTTGATGTATCGCCACTGTACTTCTTGATTCTAGGTGTATGAAACAACATTTCCAATTCCGAAATGAATATTTTGTACATGCACAATTCGTATACACAGTGGAGTGTAGAGGTACATCAGTGCGCTAATATCGCTGTCCCTCTCGAACTTACCTATACGTTTCACTACATATCCGAATCACGCATATCAAAATATTTACTTTGAGATTATAAATGTTAATTTTTAATACATCGAGAATTAAGAAATAGAGTGCGGTTACATCAAAATTATCGATATGTACAGGGTATACTTCGAGACTTTCCATGTGTACAGTTGTTACTACGTGTTTTATGATGTGACCACTTTCTACATCTCCCTTTCGTATGTATACTTTTCTTTATAAATAGTACTTCTTATAGATCTCGATCGACAAGACGAGCCTGGATAAGCACAGAGGTGTTCCTTCTTACCTGAATTATTCAGCTGCTGTTGTTGCTGTGACTGTTGAAGGTGGATTTGATGTCTGAGAGCTTTGCGCTTGAGTTGCTCGGCCTTTGTGGTTCGAGGCGTAGGTGTTAGGAGCCCCAGCCCAGAGCCCGGCAGCGTACCCATACTACGCGAGTTTTCAGCGCGCAGAAGGGTCTCGAGAGCCCCCCGGATCCCATGCGCAGCCGCCAGATGCGACATACTACGGCTCATGCTCAAAGCAACAATATCTTGCTGTTGGTGCTGCTGTGATGACTGGGAGTGCTGCTGGGCTATGGGCCGCCGATTAGGCTGAGCCAGCTGGTCTAATCTCGACATGGAGTGTGTCCTACCTGAACTGTGATTGAATGATTTAGCACTAAAGGTACGGCCCGAGCTGACGCTTGGATATTCTTTGCTGCTATCTCGGGGCGAGGGTAACGTTGGCATCAGATCAGTACGTCGGCGGTTTACGTGACGCGATACCGAGTCCCCACTGCTAAAGGACGAGGAGGCCGAAGTCGTAAGACCAACACCACCAGCACTGAAGTATAACTCGCTATCGTTACCTGTAAAAATCACATTATTAGCCTAGATGTCCGACGGAAAAAAGTAAGTAAAATAGCTTTTTTCCCTCAATTTAGATACTCAGCAGAAATCAGTTCATTTATGTGCGTTTATCAATGTCCTAAGTTTGTTAAAAAGTTAACCCTCTGCTTAATTTTTTTTATCAAATAAAAAGTTTAAAAATTTGATTTTTTCTATTTTCTTCGTAATANTGAGAAATTTCAATTTTTTTTATTTGTTTTTGTTAGATATAATACTAATACATACACAAATTAAAATAACACATAATTATTCAATAATGCAAACCATGGAAGTATTGCCCTATAAGGAAGAATCATTGTTATAAATTAACTTGGAGAACAAGTCAAGTTATTTGATTAATATTCAGTGTGCTAAAATTATACGTGTTTAAGAGAAACTTTTGTAATTATTTGTATTTTAAGTAGAATATGATGAAAAAAAACTAGTCTTCTGTTAAAGTTGAAAAATTAGGAATAATAATATAAAGCTTAAAGCAGTATGTTGATTCAAAAACTTTACGCTGATCCTCATCGGAATTTTATCAAGGAGAGAGAATTTGTCAATGGTTGAGGATCTGAATAAAAAGTGAGCTAAGTCAAAGTAAGGGAGAAAACTACAGAATTTTACCTTATTTTGTAGGCGAGCATTGAGGACCTACGAGAGTTTGTAGTAGATTAGAAGAGAGGGAGGCTATATGGGGCTGTAGCAAGGTTTGCGTAAAATGCCCTACACAAAATGTGTACTATGTAATATATGTACATATATATTAAAGTATGCATATAGAGTGATTTAGAAAAGGCTCGCCATAATTTTCCCCCCAGCCACCTCAAAGACCACCACAACCCCTCCATAGCAGCCCACAATGTAATGAAAAATTCACTTATTTCTCCCTTATTTCAGAATGTTCAATGTTTTGTTAAACCTCTAACTTCTCCACAACCACCTACAGTCGGTTGCTCTAGTTATTATTCTTACTTCAATATGATATTAAAATAATTTTGTAATTATTAACTTCGTACAATTGCACAAACCGTAGCATATATTAAAAATACTTATTAACATAACTATTGCTCCAACTTTTAAATCAAGTTCATGAGGTGAGAGACCTTCTTGAATACTATTTAAAAATTCAAATCCATAAAAATGTTACTGTCAGATTTACCGTTACCTTTGTAATTCGCGTAATCTATGCTATAGTAAATTAATATATTTTCGTTTAGTTGGTGCAAAATTGTATTATGTAGATTAACTAATAAATATACATCAAACCAATATTCACAATTCATTTGAAAATACGAAAAAATTTCCATAAAAATAACTATTAATAGTCTTAGCTACTACCATACTTCTATTACTGTTTTTTGTATAGGGAAGAATTTGACAAAAATCTCTTCCCAAAATAATTAATTCGTTTCCAAAATATGTGTTTGTATGACATAGATCACGCAAAGTCTTGTCTGCTATTTCTAAGGATTTTTTGTAATTATCGATGCCTCATCCCTAATTATTGAATCAATTAACCGTGATTTTTTTTCAGATACTGTCTCTAAAAATATACTTTGTATGTAGTCTGAGTCCAACGGTAGACAAAAGGTTCCGTGACTAGTCATTTCTTTTGAAAGCAAAATCGATGCAATGCCAGTTCAAGCCATTGATAAAAATTGTTTGACTTGAGAAATAAATTAGTAATTCACTGTTGTTTACAAGAAAGTTTTTCCCGATCCTCCAGGCCCATAAATAACAAAAATCCTTCTAATTTGCTCACATATAATTCTTAAACTATTGTTTTGATCATTATCTAATTGAAGATACATTGAACTAAACATATGTATACAAAATGCAACTTTTTCAGTATTATCGTTTGAGTTTAAGTTAATTTTTTTTTTGGAACTGGTAAATTTAACGATCAGCATGATTTTCCTTCCGATTCAAGAATTCGATTTATGTGTAGAAAAGCACTCTTTTTTTTATTATCAATAAAATCTTTCGTAAAGTATATTTTATATTTTATCAATATGCCGTTGCTTTGAACGTTTTCAGGAATTAAAAACCACGCAAAAATTGTCGTAACTGAAGCAGAATTGAGCTAGCTTCTTTGAAAATGCTATCTTTATGAGTACCATGATCAATTAAACCCATAGCAACTGCAGTATCTTTAAACGATTCGTATTTAATATTGTTAAGTGTGTTCAAATCTTCGAATGACGATGATCTGTGATTTTTATTTGACACTGTTACATCTCGAGTTGATACGAATTATATAATAACTAAAAGCTATCCGTCCGTCAAATTTAGATAAGACGTATTGTGAATATAAAGCAAGCTCATATGACAAGAGGAGTTTATACGTCATTTATTTGCGTATGTGTAATAGCTTTAAGGTGAATGTTCAATAATATGCTGACATAGAATACGGCCAGCCTCGTTGTAAGAATGCAAATATGTATTGAAATCGTATTGTATGTATGAATGAATAATTTACGTGCAACTTGATTGTCCACTTCTAATAATACCGATTTTAAATATCGTGTAGTATAAGTAATCATTGGGAATTACTGCACGAAGCATTTGGAAACTCCGAAGCAGCAGTAACAACAGACAGTGATAGATGTAGTTTTTCATCAGTAATGTAATTAATATCAAAATCTGTGAAGTGATCTAAATGGACTGTATCGAAGAGAATACCTGTTTTGAATTTTTTTAATAAAAGAATTAAAAATTAAACATTGATTGAATCATCCATATTGTTTAAATAGTTATTTTTACTTGACTAAAAAAAACAAATAAAGCTCACGAGCTGAATCCTAAGAGACCCACGAATAACATTACAATAAAATGGTTAAGACCATACTTTAAACATGTCCGGTCATAACAATAATANTATTTGTTCATTCTTATTTTTTAACGGACAACTGCTTATTTTTAACCATCCAGGAGAAATTTTTTAACTACTTCTAAAAAGTTTTAATTTATTAAAATGGTAGTCTCAATACAATGTAATTACTACCCCTCATAAAAGCTGATGCTACATTGTAGAATTAAATGAGTTTTTTTTTTAAATACATCGGGAAAAAGAATATTGAAATAATTAATAAGCACACGCAATATTCTCAGAAAGAATGTGATTTTGTACTGCGTTAACTAACATTTTTCATTTTTTTTCCGGAACTTTCTAAATACCTTTTTCTCACTTGGCCATAAGATAGTATATTCCAAACTAGTGAATGTTTTCTTATCACCCCGGAAAATCATAAAATGATGAATATTGATTATATAAATATGAGCTTACTAGTAAAATTGTTGACACAGCAACAAATTCGCAAGCTTTTTTAAGAGACCACACAGATTTTTTTTTGTTAATCACTCATATTCAAGATTTGTATTCAAACCACCATCTTAAATAAAGAATATTTTACTTTAATTCAATAGTAAGACAGCAATGATACTATAGTGTTATTTACACTGTTTGATTTTTTTAAGAGTCTACTCTCTTAACTTACAAACTCAGCCGGTACGTAGCACTGATAGCTAAGTTCCGATTCTAATACAGATAGTGCTAGGGTACACTTACATAGATAAGATGCAAACACGGTACACCATGAATAGTACAAAAGAGATTGACTTTAAAAGTTTCAGGGAACGAGTACAAGATCAAGGATTATTCTTGAATTAAAAACTCTAAAACCTAAAAATGGTGTTTTGTATAATGTTTATAAACTGTGCTTGACTTATTTAAATTGCACTTGCAGAATGAAGTTTCGTTATATAAACCATTTCAGATACTAATCATTGATAATGGAAAGATTCTTGATCTAATACTCGTACCAAGTCAAAATCAAAGGTACGACCGTTATCATTGGTATGTATATGAACAGCTGAAGGCTCTTTTTTGTTGTGGTTAAGTAAAGAATGTTCCGAGCCCATGTGTATTTTTACGAAAGACAAAGCCCAGAGTTACAAACATGAGGTCTAAGCTTTATTTACTTCCGCCCGTTGTGTGTATATAATTTTACGCTTCACCTGAATTGGAACTGATACATTACTGCCACAGTTACAAATCAGTTTCAGGCTAGGTGTGATGTAAAAATAATTTTTAATTAAGTTCATTTAGTATTTATATTAATATTTATTATGACTAACGTTGTGTACTTTATTTAAAAAACTGTCAGTTTATCACAATGAAAACATCGAAAATTTTTAACATTAATACAATTCAATTGAATTTATTATATTCAACAGTTGTTAATTAATACACATGTTACTAACAACTTGCTTTCAAAACCTGAGAAAAAGTAAAGTTAAAGTTACTTTTTTGAAGGGATAGAGGTGAAATTCTGATTTACGCATAGTGCACGAAAGGGGAGGAAGGAGATTAGAAGATCGAAAAAATTGCCCACGGTATTGGAGTACAACCCTTATTGCTGATTGGAAAAAACTATTAACAGTATGAAACGTAGATGGAAAACGAAATGTAGATGGAAAATGTAATACTTACTAAGTTTTGTTTTACATGGTAATACAAAACCCATTTTTAATTACCATGTAAAACAAAACTTACTCAGCATTAAATTTTCCATCTACGTTTTGTTTGATAGATTTTATCATCAAGAAATAGATACTAAAAATACCAAGTTTTATTAATAGTATAATTTGAGTTAAACATAAACGACAAGTACAAGGGTACTAGAAGGGTCCAAGCCTTCACGCGTAAACTCTATACGCCCATGTTAACCAATATGTATTCAATATGCATGGATGTACAAAAAGTATGCTATGTAGAGATGTCGCGTGAAGGCTTGGACCCTTTCCCACAGATTCTGTAATATGTAATTATACTACAGACTACTACATACATAATAAATATTTTGTCGTACTGATCTACTGATCTGCCATGTACAAGCGGGAGTTGGATGCAAATAGACAGTACCATGTGAGCGCGTAGGGCCGCAACCCAGGGCAAGGAGACGCAAAGACGCACGAA